CTCTGACATGCAAGGTAGTAGGTTTTATAGAATCCAATTGAGAATTTAAGAGATGACTAAATTTATTGCTGGGCCAGAATGAACAAACATTTTGGTTCATATGAAAGGCAAAATATTAGAATTATCAAAATGAACAATGTTCCAGTTAATCAAGACAGGTTTTACTACATCTAGATAAGATATTGTCAATATGAGATTAGAATTTATGCATATGAAATGTAAAATATCAAAAAGAGAATTTTTAGAATAGCTGCAACATGAAATCACTTGAAAGTTTAGTATATAACCGTTACTTTCTGAATATACATGTAGCATATTCTGCATTAGGAGTTTTCCCTAATTCCCATTGAAGCTCAAAAATATTTGTTGTTTTCAGGTAAAAACGAGGGCTTTTTTGTAGAAAAATCACAATCTGGGTTAAGAGATACTCGAGGCCTTAAAACTGTCAGAGTTAGCTCCTCCTTAGTTCCTTAATCCTTCACCAGGTGTCTCTCTCCCCTTGCTATAAATACTGGGTGACCTTTTGCCTCGATCCCTCTTTTCTCTCCCCCCACAGACAGTATTTTGTACATATAGGAAACTATTTAGGATTTGCATTGAGACAATGAGGTATTTTGGTAGATGTAGTAAGAAAGGTAAGTATGAATGTGTTGTTTTGGTGATAGGAATATTGTTCTTTTTGATTGGGTCAGTGGTTGTGGCTAGCTAAGTTTCTAAATTAAGACAGATGATGACTGTCCTTCTTCAATCCCCTTTTTAGGACTTGTGCCACATTTTCTGTTTTTACGGAAATAAATAACCTCTTTTCCCCTCCTCAGACCTTGGGCCATATCCCACCTCACATGGAGGTGAGGTAATTCTTTCTTCATTTCAGCTAATACCAATATGTGAGCTCTCGCCAATACAGTGTTTCCCAAATTCTGGGAACACGCTAAGAACAGTACCGATACACATACGTACGAACACTCACCACAATACACACACATAATATTCACCACACAAACTCAGTGTAACGGTCCATGTGCTTGTAATTTGTTAATACATATATTTGTTTATATATAATTATCGGTCTTATTTGTTTTCTTTAAACTTAAAGTCCAACATTCTCATGTAGCTGGACCAGATAGCAGGAAATTTTAACCCACATGTGTTAATTACATCTTCAACCCCACAGTCCTCTACAAAACAATAAATGCAATTCTTTTTAGGAATTCAGTTTGTCTTAAGAATTTTATTTTACTGCTCATTTTGGACCAAGAGAATGATATACATCAGAATATGATAATAATTGAATGACAAAACAGAAAAATTCTGTTTCAATTTCATCCCCTATAATCTGAAGTCCTTTTAGAAGACAAAATGAGAAACAGATTTTTTCACTTTGTCATTCATACTTGTCTTAGCCTTTTTGTACAGGGACCTTGATACAACAGGAGAAACGCATAAATTTGCATAATGTTTTCGAAAAACCCTTAATTCCCGAAAGCGTAAGATTTGACTGGAACACATGAACAAAAAAGCCTTTGAAAACCAGCATTTTGAAATATCCCTAGCTTGCTTAAAAATATAATTTCACAAATTATTGCTGTTGTCTGGACCTAGCCCACTGTCCATTCAAAGCTGACAATGGTTCACATCAAAGATAAAAATGCATGGAGTAGATTGTATATTCTTGGATAAGATATTTTTAATAGTTCAGGTTGCAATCAAGAAATTTTAAAAGAAACTACGAAACAATTTCTTCCTGCACGAAAATATCCCTTCAAAATTTACATTCTGCAAGCAAGGACAATGCCAGGGCGCGAATATCCTGCTTTGTAAAAAAAATTAAATGGCAAACAACCCACCAAAAAACCAAAACCAAACAAAAAACAGCAGCTTAAATTTTTAATCGAAATAAAAACTTTCAATATGAAAAACCTTTTGCCTTACGCATTCTTTGAAGAAAAAGAGCCATATGAATCTACACATCACTCAATAGAGAAAAAAAAAAGTCCAAACACCAGACACTCAATGCATCACTAATGAATTTTTTTTTTTACTCTAATCAATCTAAACACAAAACAAACGAACTATATTCACTTTAAATTAATTTACATTCACGTGTCATTTTAAACACATTATTCAAATATTTTTCTTCAATATTTAGTGAAAAGTTCCGAAATAAACAGTTTTGTTGTGTGTGTGTGTGTGTGTGTATTTAAGTAACTTAAGCCTGTTTACTAGATTTCAAAAATTCTTTAGAAATTTCAAGTTCCCCACCCCCTCGCTACTTTAACAGTCAGGTGTGGAGGAGGAGGAAAAAGGAGGGGATTAATGGACGGTTGGTTACTAACTTTCCTTGCTGCCTCAGTTCAGCTGCTGCTGTTAAAACTGGAGTTTTTAGGGGAAAAAAAAAAAATAACTTTTTTAGTAGATTTTGGTTAATTAAATATTTCCAAAACAAAATGCACAACTTCAGTAAGTTTTTGAAATTTGTTGCTTTTTAAGAAAAAGTTGTTTTTTACCTTACACATTGTCATTCCATGTAAAATTTTAATTTTAAATCGGTGTCAACAGATTTAAGTTGTAACAAAGCCACTATATTCTGTGGGGTTTTGATTAATATTGCTCCACAGCAAGGCTTTTTTTATTCGATACCGATACTTTTTAAACTTTACTTCTGTTATTGTCCACAGGTTTTTTTTTTTATCCTAATTTTGTTTGACATTTTAGTAAAATCTACGTATGTGTTGCATACATCATTTATTTGTGATATTAATTTTTATAAAGAAGAAAAAAGAAATCACTTGTAGGAGTGGCAGTTACTACTTATTGTACAATCTGCTCCAGAAGGTAACGAGGCCCAGTAGTATCAACGTTGTATCTAAGCTTAAAATATCACTGAGTTTGAAGGTAAGAAAGTCTAAGTTGACAACTCTTGTTCATAGGCTTGCTGAAATTAAGAAATATTTACATTTTTTAATTTATAATAATCATAAAGTCCCGTTTTATTCTTTAAAATATTTTAAAGGGGACTTATCTTACTTATATTGCAAGTTTTTTTTTTTTACTTTTTTCCTAGACAGAAGGTGAAGTTGTTATGCTGACTTCTCCCTTACAATTGACTGGATTTAGAATTTTTAATAAAACTTTAAAACAACTTTTAATGGCTGTGTTTAGTTTACTCTTTTAGTCTTTTTACTATGATTTTTTTTTTAAATTAATGCTTTTTATACTTGCATTGAATTTTTAGAAGAAACGAAGTCAGTCTTGTATAAAAGCAGTTTTTTTTTTTTTCTTAAAGAAAAAAAAAAGAAAAAGTAGCAATGTTTTATTCTTTTATTTAACAAAAAAAAAGAACTGAACGGCGTACTACAGTGATTTATTTTTTTTTATTTTTTTTTTTTTTTTAAATGTGCGATTCGAAACAATTTGTCACTGCGAGCAGGTGGCGGTGAAAAAGTTTTAACTTTTTACGCAGATTAACCATGAAATGAAATCTTCTGATACTGGTCAAGATTTTTTTGGGGGGGAAGTGAATCGGGCTGAGAAATTTCCAACCTCGCGTATAACCACCCGCTAATTGTATGTGTTTGAGGACACCACACACACAAAAAAAAATTCCCGGTTTATTTAAATTAAAAAATATTCAATAGAGTTTGATTTCTTTTTTATTAACTTGTGATTTGAAGCAGTCGTGAACCCGTGAATAAAATGCAGAAAAAAAAGACATAGTAATTCGTATGGTAAAAATTTTAAACAAGCAAAGTGAAAACCTTAACGAAATAAAGCCTTATTTAAAAAAAAAAAAAAAAAAAAAAAAAGTGCACAAATTTCTAATGTTCATAGCGTATTATTATTCCACAATAAAGTCGCGGTAACCTTAGAAACTGTCGAGAAAGAAAAAAATTGTAAAGCGCTACCTCTTAGTCTTACTTTTAGTGTCCGTACGAATATTTTAAATTTCAATATTCGACACCTGGCTATTTAGCAAAATAATAAATAAAAAAATGCGATTCAAAACTGGTTTATTATTCAGTTGTGAAAAAGAATTTCTGTCCCAATATTTGGAACGAAATAACTTGTCAGGATACGGTCAAATTGTAAGAAGTATTAGAATTTTCTGCAAAGAATTTGCTTCACATAAATAAATGCCTTTTATCAATCTTAGCCAGACAAAAATGAAAAAAAAATTGAATTTCAATGATTCTTCTGAAGGAGTGCTCGTACACTCTTCAACTGGTCTTTTTATTGTTGAAGGAAATCAAGTGATGATTTGAGGGATATGAGGGGAGAAAAGAGGGTGGAACTGCTAAATAAGCTGTCCAAGGATGGTAATGTTCGGGACATTGAAAAATGCTAACATTTACGACCCATAAAGAGTTTAAATTATTTGTTTGTAAAAGTATACGTGTCAATTTTAGTAAAAATTGATTGAAGCATCTTTATTTAACTTTAGGAAAGCCCAACAAAATTAGGAACTTTAGTAAAAACATGAAGTTTGTGTCCTCCTCTGAATAGCCAACTAGAGAAAGGTCAACTTTATTATTGACGTTGACGTATATAAAAAAAGAAGGGGGGAGCCAATAATGTTATTTTTAAGTTTAACTTTACTTTCACTAACTCTTGTCGCAAAACTGGAGCAACACTTTACAAAAGATTCGTATGTTTCTTGTAATTGCATATAATTTTTTTTTTTAATTTTGTATTCACCTGAAGAAAAACATCGACATGCATCGGGTTTCAAAATACTTGGTTAAAAGTAAAACTGCAATTATTTTTTCTTTATTCATCGTAATACGATTTTACAAGAGTCAAATCTACTTATTTTAATTTCGAATTTGCTTTTTAATTTAACTGTTTGAAAATTAATAATTAAAAAGAAAAAAAAAGACCATAACATTATTCCAAGTGACCAAGTCTGAGTATAATTATAATTCTAAGAAACGCTAACAGTCCTTTTTTTAGAAATTAACATAAACAAAGACACATAGTAAATAATAATAATAATAACTTACCAGCATCAGCGAAAATAAAACAGAATGTACAAAGAAGTAAGACACTTTGTACAGGCAAAGCCATGTTGATGATAACTGAGTAAGAAAACTTTATGAACTGACGTGAATAACAAATAGTGGGTGTGAATTTATATAGTTGGCTACTGCTGACTTCAAAAGTTTTTAAAAGATCCTGTTCGGGAAATAATTTAGTGCGATTCTGGATTTTCCAAAAAACCGCAACCAATCCAAAATTCTTCTCTTCTAACTATATAATGGAGTAACTTTTTTGTTTTAAAAACGGTGAAATTAAATATCTTAACTTTTTCTTAAGCTCAGGAGAGAAAGTTGCACAGGGACGAGTAGAAAAGATGACAGTTTGAGATTATTAAACAATAAAAGAGTCTAACAAAATTCAGCAAACAAGTCAAAATGAATTATAATGGCAGTTTGTATCATTAATTACGCCACTATAATCTGATGTGTTATATTTTTAACGTTATTTTTTTATGGAGTTATTTATTTATTTATTTTTTACTTGATGAAAAGTAGGAGAAACCATAACTTTTTTTACACTAATGAACTGTCGTCTCCAATAAGAAATACATAAATAAAATTATACTATCATGCTGTCGTGTCCATGAAAATAAATAAAAATTAATTATAGTGTCAAAAATAATTATAATAAAACAATTATTACAATTATGATTATCATTAATTCGCTCATTCTAAATCAATGAGAATCGATCCTACTTTTTTCATCTACACACACGCAAACACGTGACATTCTCACTATCGGAAAAGCAGTTCACACTGACAGGTCGTCAACAAGTGCGTCAACGAAAACTGCGTCTCATTTTCCTTTTTCATGCCATAATAGTAACATTTATCTTTTAGTATTCAACAAAATTCGAGGTAAGAAAACCCCCAGACATTTCTTGTATTTTTCCAACTAAATTATCTGGACACTCATTACACACATCTATAAAAAAAATACAAGAAAAACTGTATACACTTTGCTTATTCTTTATCTTAACCTTTTGTCAGATTCTGATTCATATTTGATCTACATTTGACCCCAAACTCATAATTTTACTCAGTATTGCTGTCTCTCGTGTTTCCACCAACGAGATAATAAATAATTTTGTTGTTTCCACGTCTTGCTGTTTCTAATTTTTATTAGTATTTTTGTATATAAAAATGTTAGGGGGTTTATAATTACCGTATTTGAAGGCATATAAGACGCACAGGTGTATAAAACGCACCCCATTTTCAGCAGAGCAAATCAAGAAAAAATTAGTAATTAATAAAATTATTAGTAAATCATAAAGCCTAGGCTATATTTATGAGGTATTATTTTGGTTAAACAAGCCATGATTACAATTAAATGAAAAATAATAGGAAAAAAAGAACATGAGCCTACATAAACTTTATTATCTTTTATATGATCTGTACAACTTACGTCTTGTAAACGAGTTATTGGAATAGTTAGGATATAAAAATTCTGATTGTATTTATACCAATGCAACCAGAAGTTATCACAATAAATATATTAAAGAAACAAATATATTTTACAAATATAGAATTTGAATTTTATTGAAAAAAATTACCAATATTAAATATGATGAAATTAATATAATGAATATTAGTAATGATAACACTTTTAATCTGCATAATAGTTTTTAAAATAATGACAATAGGTATATGAAAGTTACTCTAAAGTCTAAGCTAATAGAAGTTGCCAGGTAGCTAATCTCGGCCGACTATCGCGAATTTTAAAACTACATATGGCATATAAAACGTAGTGGAATTTTAGATGATATTCTTAGTAAAACAAAAAGTGCCTCTTATATGGCGTCAAATACGATATTTACTAAAAATGATAATTCCCGATTGGACCAAATAAAAACTCTCAATATCTATCATTTATTTTTTTCCATAAAGCCCGCAAATGAATGTTGCTATTTCAGAGAAACTAAAAAGTTCGGGGAATCCGAATTGCGCGCGCGAAATTTCACCTCTTTCTTTTGTGAACACTACCCTAGAATGAGAAATCGGAGAGCTGAGTTCGAATTCCAGTTCGAGTTCGTTATATTCACTTACGCGCAAGTACCCTTGGGAAAGGTATGAATCCAACTCTTCTCCCCCAGCTATGGGTTGAATAGTAGAGCCAACTGGGTTCTATAGCCTTGGTTGACAGCCAGTCTGTTGTAGAAAAAACGGCAACATACTGTGGGAAAATCAGCCTAGTCAGTCCTGAACAGAAAGATATGATCGCCCAAGCGTGTATCGCATATGGCACTTAACTGACTGTCCCTTTGGGAACAAGTATACGAAAAGAAACTGGTAAAATGACTACTTCACAGAACAGTGGCGGACTGAGTCGAAAATTTTTACCGGGAAAACTAGCAAACGGGCCAAGTCAAAAAAAAAAATCCCATTTAATCCCAAAACGTAGTCAAATGAATTAAATAAAAGTAAATGTTTTAGGCAAATAAAATGTTACGTTTATTCAATATTGTTTTATTTATTTATGTTAAGGCACGCATAATACAAATACTTGAAAATTTTAATGATTTTATAATAAAAATGCAAACCTATTCAAAATTACCGAGAAAACTTGTAAAAGGACCCACTTAATCCCAAAACGTAGTCAAAGGAATTAAATAAAAGTAAATGTTTTAGGCAAATAAAATGTTACATTTATTCAATATTGTTTTATTTATGGTAATGTATGCATAATACAAATGCCAGAATATTTTAAATGAACTAATCTGACCTGGTGGAGTCTTGTGCAGAACTGAAGTGTTAACTATTTATACCTAACCAAAACAAAATTAAAAAATATCATTAAAAATGGAAAAAAAAACAGCTTCATCAAACAAGGAACTGAGCATATCTATTATCTACCGAAAGAAATTTTAACAACACAGAAGCCTTATTTAAATCTTCCCAGCATCGACGCAATATTAATTGTATACAATGGCGGACTGGGTCGAAAATTTCTACTGTGAAAACTTGTAAAATGGTCCAGTCAAAGGAACCGACTTAATCCTAAAACGTAGTAAAAAATCATTTAAAAGTAAACGTTTTAGACAAATAAAATGTTACGTTTATTCAATATTGTTTTATTTATTTATGTTAAGGCATGCATAATACAAATACTAGAAAATTTTAATGATTTTATATTAAAAATGCAAACCTATTCAAAATTACCGAGAAAACTTGTAAAAGGACCCACTTAATCCCAAAACGTAGTCAAAGGAATTAAATAAAAGTAAATGTTTTAGACAAATAAAATGTTACATCTATTCAATATTGTTTTATTTATTTATGCTAAATAAATATATTTTATATATTAAGCAAAACGAAATTTTTAAAAATATCCTTAAAAATGAAAGAAAGAAGCTTCATCAAACAAGAAGCTGAAAATATCTATTATCTACTGAAATAAATTATAGCATCAAAAAAGCCTTATTTAAATTTTCCCAACATCGACACTATTTTTTTCTTATAATTCTTTCTAAATTGATAGACCATCGCTTTGGGGTCCACTGGGAAATTTCCCGGTATTCCGGTGGGCCAGTCCACCACTGATGCATAAGGACACAATGGAAAGTAAGTATTAAAGTTTTTATTTTATTAGAATTTAATTTGAGAAACTACAATGTTTTACAAGTTCACGTTCTAGCCTCTTTTCTTTTCTCCAATACCCCCGACTTTATGTCACCATGGTCAGATTCCTTTTTATATTTTCCAGCTCTCTCGTTCGTATTGATAAGAATCAAGGCTTTGGGGACCGAATTTGAAAGCAGCAAGAGTTGGGTCAAAGATCAGAAAAGAGAGCATGAACTTGTAAAACATTGTGGGGGTGGTTCTCAAATTAATTTCTATGCTCGAATCCCTTAAACTTTTAGGTCAGTCAGTTATGTGCCATGCGTGATATACGCTTAGGCGATCATATATCTTTCGATACATGACTGACGAGGCAGATTTTTTCCCCGCAATAGGTAGACCAGTTGCTATCCAAGGCTATAGAACTTATTACCCATAGCTTGGGGAGGGGGAAGAAGAAGAGGATTTACGTAAGTGAATGTAATAGATTCGCCTGGAATTCGAACTCTGCTCTCCAATTCCTCAATCCTAACCGCTATCCATTACTCCACAGTTCCTCCGACTGGAGGTAGCATTTCGTAATCCTAAAATTCATAGGACGCAATGAGTAAAAACAAAAAAAAAAAAAGAAAGTATTTAAAGATAAAATTTGTAAACTCCTAGCCACTTGGATGACATATAAAATCATTTTCAGAAGTTTTTACTTTTATTTATTCAAACTTTATTTAAGCAATACAAATATTGTATTATTTATTAATTTTCGGGTGTACAGTGATAAAAATTAGCAAAACGCTGTCAGGCTAATCTTAATTTAACATGTGCTTTACCTTGTATATATCATTTTAAAAGATATTACCATTGCTAATTGCTTAAAATGAAACTGGAGTTATGTGCTTTCCCAACGGGGAGGGGGTGTGCGGGTGGTATAATGGATAGCGAATAGGACTAAGAAAGTGGAGAACCAAGTTCGAATTCCAACTGAGTTCGTTAAATTCACTTCCAAAAAATACCCATGGAAAATGTATGAATTCCTCTCTTCTCCCCCAACTATGGGTTAAATACTAGGAATTGTATATCGAAAATTCATTGTTATCTCCAAAACATTGTTAATGCAATATTCATTCGAAAAAAAAATTGTTTTTACAATCCCAAAATATGTTTCAGCTTGATAAGTCGTTAGTCAGTTATATACCATGCGTGATACACGCTTAGGCGATCATGACTGATCATCGATGCATGACTGACGTGGCAGATTTTTTCTCGATGTAGATTGCCATTTGTTTCTGCGGTAGATCAGTTGCCATCCAAGGTTATAGAACCCAGTCTGTCCTGCTATTTACCCATAGCTAGAAGAAAAGGATTATAACTTTCCCAAGAGTATTAGCACGTAAGTAAATGTAATAGATTCGAACTCGGCTCTCCGATTTCTCAATCCAAGCCGTTATCCATTACTCTACTGTGCTTTCTTCA